AAAAGGAATGAAGAAGCAAAAATAGGGAAGTGTTCGATTGAAACTTGAAGGATCCGATACACATCCCATACATATATCGTGTTGTGTTCAACACGGGTACTCCAACTGTTTCAAAGAGTCTAAGCATCAGAGAACATAACTACGTAAGTACACCTAAAAGACTTTTTATTTAGGATCACCTCAATTAAAGTTAGGAGCCTTTTGCTTCAGAGATATGCAAGCTTTACCAACACACATTAATATTACTTCCTGTGTTTTCTGATTGATGACTAATAATGCCCAAAGAAACAAATTATCGACTTTCTTTGAACGGATCAAAATAGTTCATGTAAAAAAGAAGATATTGACTTGAAAATCTTGTATTGTCCTTTGCTTTCTGTACTAATTTAACTTTTTAGGATTATGTAAAGTAGAAAGTTTTATTTTGTAAAGTTCATTTATGAAGAGCATATTTATAGCGTATTTATAGAGGATATTGCTTGTACGAGTGACCTTATTCAAGTAATGAGATTTGTTTTAGCACTTGGAAAAATTGCAATGATAACCATTTTATTAAATTACCTATTCAATTCAACACATTTATTGAAATTAGTCATTTTCAGTTGTAACAGGAAGCTCACCATTAATATAGACATCCAGTTAGGTTTTAAATTGTTTTAGCACTTGCAAAGGACCCATTGGTTCCTGATTGCATATAGTAACAGGAATAATGGTAAACCTAAATGGAGAGGCTGACCTAAAATCACATGGAGTGAGATAATTTAAGGGACAGATACCACTGTAGTTTAACATTTGAGGTGGTCTTGATAACTTTAAAGATGATCTTTCATGCGTAAAAGAAGGCTCTATGTAGCCAGCCCCATATAAGTTTAGAACAGGAATTGGCTGAGTTGATCTATAACTGCACTTTTGCTGGGTTACTGGTGGTGCATCATGACATAATTTTCAGTGCTATATAAATTTATTGAATAACACTATTATTAGGGAGGTGGCAGTAAAACTAATCTAAGGAATCAGGATCTAACGACAGGGATCCCTACTCTGGAATCGTGCCCCTGCCTTAATTATTGTCCACTCTAGGAGAGCTTGGGGCCATCGTGCCCCTCATGGATTTCTTTTCTGTCTGCAGTGATTTGAACCCAAGACCTCCCTTAAGAGGTACTTCAGCTGAATGTTGGTACCAAATTTGTGGATCCATGTTGTTACACAGGATCATCCCTGTAACTGCACCACTCTCAACCATAGGATGAATTCAATTGCAGCACCAATCAGCCACAGTCATCCTCAAATGTAGCTTCCATTTTCAGGAAATACATAGAAGTATCTTCATAATGTAAACACCCAATGTCATAAAATCAGCTGCAGAAGCATCTCAATTACTGCACAGATTATCAGCTGACCTTGATCATATCTATTACTTGAGAATCTTTTTTATTTCAGTGTAATAATGCAACCTGTAGAAGATCTGTATGCGTGTGTTTAATAGTGAAAAGTAGATGCGGTACGTAGCATACAAAATATCTGCCTTTATCAATCATCTGTGGCTGAAAGCTTTTAGAAAGTTCCAATCATCATGGGCTCTGGTTTAATTAATACTTCCATTTTTGGATAGCTTTGTAATAAATGTTATTAATTTTGGGCCATGCTTACCTTTGTTCTCTGTTGTAACTTCCGTAATGCCATGCTCCCTTGTGCTGAATTATGCTTCAAAATTTCCACAATAAAAACTGCCACTGAGATCGCAGTTTAGTTTTGGCTGTTCTTTCCTTTTCCCTCGCCTTGTTAATGCTGCAATTTATTTGTTGCAATTGCTGCTTCCATTTTCCTTTTTTCACCTTTTGCTGAGTTGTATGATGCTGGTAATAATGTTTTCCCATTTATGGACATGAATAGGTGATATGTTTACTGAGGAACAAAATGAGTTGGTTGAATCAGCGGCAGAGATGCTCTATGGTCTTATTCATGTCCGGTACATTTTGACGAGCAAGGGAATGGCTGCAATGGTAACATAATTAGTCAGGTTATATTTATTTGTTATTGGCTCTCTCCATTAATTTTAAATTACATAACTTGTTGAGATGCAAATTTACAGTTGGAGAAGTATAAAAACTATGACTTTGGAAGATGCCCAAGAGTTTACTGCAGTGGACAGCCTTGCCTTCCAGTTGGTCAATCGGACATTCCACGTTCAAGTACAGTGAAGATATACTGTCCCAAATGTGAAGATATTTACTACCCTCGATCCAAGTACCAAGGCAGTATCCTAAATTATAGTCTCTCCAACGCTTCTGCGCTTGGTTTAGTTTGCGTTGTTAGTTGTTAAATAAGTTGGATGCATGTGCTACTCTCTCACACATACACACACAAAAGCACGTATAAATGCATTCACTGAATTCTATGCCCGGTTCTTGTCGAGAATCAGAATCACCATGATTCAAATGCTGCCATACAATGCAACTGAAACTAACTTCTAATATGCCAGACTGTTGTTTTAGAATCAGAGCCACCATGTTTCAAATGCTACCAGACAATGCAACAGAAACTAACTACTAATCCCACTATTGCTATTAAACGCCCTAGCCCAATATTTTTCTTCTTGAAATTAATAGATTTGGTTCTGCATTCTTGTTTGGCTTTCAAATGAAAAAGAAAAAATTCTTCTAACGATGATTGTGAATTTCTTGCAGCCCTCAATCTTAATAATAATATTTGTTTTAATCCTAAATCATATTAGGATGAAAAGGGAACCACGTTATACTTTTCTTATGTTGTAAAAGATACCCACACAGCTACTGGAATATCTTATCCTAGGAACTAAAATATGCAACTGACTTTGAATTTATGAATGACAAAAGTTGTTTTGGGCATCTACACATGCACCTTACTAGGAATTCCCCCAGTGATGTAATTCAACTGGAATATGCAAAGAAATTGGTGTTCAGTAAGCTGATTAATTATTGTTGATTTTGTTTGATTGATATCTGAATCAAAATCATGCTTTGAAAGTATTAGAGCGTAAAGGATTTGGTATTTTTATCAGATAATGCTTCAATGGGCTAAACCCATTTTGTAGCATGAACTTTGTGGTAACGATTTCTTTAACTGATAAAGATATTGACGGAGCTTATTTTGGTACTACATTCCCTCATCTCATCTTGATGACACATGGACACCTGAAGCCACAGAAGCCAACACAAAGTTACACCCAAAGAGTTTTTGGCTTCAAGCTTCACAAGCCTTGAGCGTACGAGTTTCCAGTCTTGATGAATTGGGATCAAATTTTCTTCTCAGAAGTGGTTCTCATCTGGCTTCAATTATGTACTAGTTCTTAAGGCGTTACAAGCCGGTCGTGACAAGCCAGGTAAACGAAGAGGGGTGAAATGTGGAAATTGAATGATCAACGAGGTGTACTGTCTTGCAAATTTAGTTTTTTAAGAGCACTCTCTCTCTCTCTCCACCTCCCCCCATAAATTAGACACGATATATGTAATTTTTATTTATTTTTCAGGTTTTGCAACTGTTTGAAATACTTTTCTATTGTTGCCCGGTGA